TCACATACTGAGGTCACTCTTGGTGCCAGCTCTGTCTTCGATTAATAGATAAGGTTCCCTCTCTATTTGAAGTGTTACCTAAATAATCTATTACTGTAGGGAATAACTACAGTATTACAAATACTAAGTTAGAGTTATTTTGTTAACAAAAGCCATTGGCAAATATTTAAGAATGGCCAAAGCATATGAATTGACAATAAAGAACAGATACAAGATAGCAAAATTCTTACTTGTAGCTAAAGGGATAAAGGAAACATCTTTCTTTTTTTTTTTTTTTTTAATTTGGGTTAATTTTACTTAGAAGCAAGCCTTCATGGTGCACCTGGTGAATGCTTAGGCTAGAATATGCTAATACAGCCAATTCCGTGTCAAAACATGACAGGAACATTTTATGGAAAGCTTGGTTCTAGGAAAAACTACAAAGAGTATTTGCAATAGTTAGCTGTGCTGCAGTCCTCTAATTCATGGAAGAAATTTGAGAGCCTGTGAATCTGTGTTTTGCAATTAGCACAGATACATTGTGGAACCCTGAGGATATGTAATTAATGTTAACATGTAGCAAGCAATATTTAGGATTAAAGCATAAAATTTATAATAGTCTCTTCTGTGAACTCAGGTGCATTATATCTCTGTGTGAGAAAATAGCTAAGTTGCAAGCTTCCAGTCTCTAATCAACTAGAAATAGCAGAGACCCCAGCCCCAGGTGTATCAGGTACCCAGGGAATTCAGGTGGATTTCTTAGCTACAAGCTAGCTCCTTAGCTATGGGTCTGTGTCACAGCATGTGCCACAGGTGAGACAGCTGCAGTACACTGAGCATCACCGTACAATTTCAGAAGGCTTTAAGCGTTCACACATACAGAGCAACACCTTATCACATCAGAAATCTTGAAGCATCTGCCCTTCTCATTCTTCAGCCCAGCCTTTTATACCCCTCATGTTCATGCATTGCACCTGTGTGCCCTCTGTTCCCTTTGTGACTGGTCAGTACCTGGGCACTCCATGGCTCATTGCTGTCAGTGCTGCTCACCTGCTTCTCACAGCTGTGCCCATTGGGATGAGGCTCAGCTGCAGCCCCACTCCCAGTTACCACAGGTCTATGCTCTAGCTGAAGGGAATAGCACTATAACTGCAAACACCTCAAAAACACTTCCTTCTACCAATCAGTCCCATGTATGTTTTGCCCTGTTTCAACAAAACACTGTTAATCCAGAAACTATTTTTGTGGAGGTCCTAGACTGTTTGATGGTATGGTGAATGTGAGGAATGATAGGTGGTGCTGAATGTTGTGTGCATATCACTCACATGAGGCTGTGCTATCTGAGCAATTTGCCCAGGACCTGCATAAAGTGAACAGAAGACATTTGATTACTGTGCAACTCCCTAAATGAAAAGTTTGTAATGGAGACATGGTTTCCAATTATGTCTTGTTTGAGAGCTTGGTAGTCCTTCAGCTTCAAGAAAGGCTCAGATGATTTAACTCCATATCCTTACTCCCTCTCCCAGGCTAATCACAGGGAAATGGTAGGGGTACTTCAGTGGTCCTGGACAGTAAAAATGAAGCTGAAAAGAATATGTTTGCTGTTTAGCATCACCAGAAGACCATCTGGATTTAGTTTTATCCTAAATTCTGATAGTGCTGTGTCTAACTTAGCTATTTCAACAGTGATGAGTCTCTTGACATTAGTGAAGCTCAAAGCACTTTGCACACATAGCATTGTGATTGCTCTTATTTAAAGAAGGCTGCAGCCCAAGGAGGAAAAATGTGTTTGCTAGTGGCCTTTAATTGATATTTGTTGAAACATAGAAATTCTAAGATGGATAGTGGTCAATTCAAGCTTTCACTGTAGCTAATGAACCTATGTTTGAATCATCCAGTGTCCAGGCTCTTAGGACCCTGGAACAGGTTGCGGATTTCTCTAGAGCATTTCAGGAGAGAAGGCTGAATCTCAAGGTGCTGCTTTCTGTTGTTCCATACTCACATGTAATTGAGTCTGGACAGTATGGACATGCATGATCAGCACCAATCTGTCAACAGAGAAACACAGGATTTCCTGTGAAATCATGGAGTTGTATGCCCAACCACCACAGAGAAGAAAATCAGGGGTGCCCTCTATTCAACAAGTGGTTGAGGTTGCCTGAGCTCTAGGCAATGCGTGGGTACATCACACAAGAGAGTGACTCCCTGTGATGGGCTGTGACAAAGAGCATACTCTGCATTATGTACAATGAGCATTCCTTTTGTAACATGGTCCATGGCCTGCATGCCAGAGTCTGCCTTCAGCTACTGCCTTCAGATAAATTAGTGAGAGGTGGTTTGTTGTACTGAGAAGAAAACACAGTCCTCTTACCTTGTGTAAATACAGGCAAAGGAAGACTAGTAAAATATTTGTCTATGGTAGGGCAATGTCATCTAGTTGCCAGTCTACCAGCTGTCAGGCTCCTGACTCACATGTAATGCAAACTTGACTATTTAATATTCCCCACTTCACAGTAAAATTTCAAAGTCCTTTTAGGGCTTATGGGCTTTTTTTGATACCATCTTATTGCAGTATTTCCTAAGAGCACCTTTGAGGTAGTACTTTCAAGGTATCGATGCTGCCTGGCCCTTGAGTGTGCTCTGCTGCATGAGGGGACACCCTTCAAAGCCATCCTGAGCACAGGCTGAGGTCTGAGAGGTCTCCAGGACCTGTGAGAAACATTTGTGGTGAAAACCAAGGTCAGACCTACATGCCTTTGGGAACATTGGATATGTTTATCACTGGGGTGGAGGCAGAGGGAGGGAACGGGTAGGGAATGTTTGGTTTTTTGCTGGATTTTTTTTTGTTCCTCTAGGTGGAAGGTTTTGGTATGTTGTTCGGTCATTGCTTCAGGTGAAAAATCATTTCCCACCTAGCAGCAAAAGTATGCCTGGCAAGGTGAGAAGTGTTTTAGGAGCAGCACTTCATAGAGTTGATTTTTAGCCAAAGTCAAGTCCCTCTGGAAGCAGTTACAGCTGGTGATATTTCTTTGCAGGGTTGAAGCTACTCTGACTTTGCAGCTCTCTACAGGAGCTGCACAAGTGATATCAACTCATGTCACTTTTTCTTCTGCCTAGATACAGTTAGGAGAGCTCTTGAAGCTCTCAGACCCAAGCTGGAGTAGGAAAGAGGCTGTGTTGCCATAGTAAAGCAAAAGGCTTACAAACAAGAATATGTGAATTACTGAAATCCAGGAGCTATTTGAATACTTCTGTGACCCATTCTTCAGGCCTAGAACTCCCTTTTTTTTATTATAGCATGAAAAAATAATCTTCAGCTGAATGAAGGAATTTCAAATTAGTTAATTTTCAGAATTTTACCAAAACACATATGGATGGAAATTGTCTGGAAATTGCATGCTTTTGAAAAAAAAAAAAAATGTTAAAAGATCTATCAATCACAATGCCTTTATCTGGAGGAATCACAGTGGTTATAAACTGTATACATGAGAATCTATTGGTCACTCAGATGCAATCATTATGAGTTAAGACATGTTGTAGTATATTGCAATTGTAATAGTATGTTTATGTTTTTCATAGCCAGTCTTTGAAAAGGAGCCCAGTTGTAGCCACAGAGAGCCAGTATTTTAGGATCTAAATAAATTCCTCTATTTTTCGTATATTTTGGGAAAAAACTGAGCTGGTGTGAACAAGGTGGAATATTTAGTCTATCGTCTAGTTTTTGTTGCTTTTCTTAAAATCAGGGACCTATATATTCACTCAGTGTACAGTTTAGCTTCTCATCTGTCTTTTTATTCTTTTAATCTTGTGCCAGGTGTTTAAGAAGTGGGCAGCAGTGGCATTTCAGTAACCTGCTTTCAACATTATTTGCATACCTTTGTGTTTTTCCATGGTGATCAATGCTCAACTGTAGTGGAACTTCAGTCAGTAAATTTTATGTGCAACTGCTAGAGTAATTTTTTTAATTAGTCCATTCTAGTAATTTTAATATCTCTTTATAAATATTTATATTTTCAATATATCTTCATTTAATTGAGAAGATTTTTCACATTGTTTTCAGATAATCACAGGTAGTATGCATGATGATATGCCAACACTGACCTTTTAGCATCTTTTTCTTAGTTCGTCCACATTTTGTTTGTCCATGTGTATTATATTTTAGTTTATTTATGATTTTCCTTCATGGGCTGTTGGAACAGACAGTGTTTTCCATGCAAACACCTTCATAAACTGTAAAGAAAGAGAATATGCTATTGCATACCTGCAGGTGTCACGTAGACTGTCTTGATACTTTAATCAGCGTGTACAGCTACTAGAAATCCACACTGAAATAATGTTTGATTTGTCCAGAACTTTCTGGCACACAACTACAAAGCATTTAGTACTATATTCTGGTTTGTGCATTGAAAGAGTGTTGGGTGTGTGCTCTTTGATTTGGAATCTCTATGAACTTACCTCAAAATCCTGGATAAAACTGAATGGAGACCTTTAGAATTGATTAGCATGTGCAAATCATATTTCTAAGTAATCCTGATGATTTACTTATTTTAATTTTTGAATTGTAGTGGTTTTATTCCTTTCATTTTATTGAAAAGTCTTCTTTTGCAAATAAATCCCCTGTGGCTGGTGGTTCTGCTTGAGAAAAGAGAATCCCATGTACCACAAGTTAATAACACATCAGTAACTTATACTAATTAATTCAACTGCATGTAAATCACAATAAAAACTTTTTGCTGCAGCTAAGAGGTGACCAACAAGATACTACAGCTGAAAAATACTTCCTCTTGAGTTTTTGCTGAATTTTTTTTCCTTTTTCGAATTTTGATGGTTGTTACATACTTCTAGAAGAGCATTGCAGAAAAATTTTGTTCTTTTAGTTCTCTGTCACTTCTGAAGTATAACTTATTTTGCTACTAGTGTTATATGAGTCCATATATTTGACAATATTGAAAGTATTAATTAATTCTTGCAGGTCAGCCTTAGACGGAAATTTCATAACATGTATGATTTGGTTTTCCCAGGTTATACAAGTCTTTGTCTGAAGGAACGAGTCTGAAGAACCAGCCTAATTGTGCTTTCAGTACTTCTGAAGGTGGACTGCAGGAAAGGGAGGATGTTGTGACCCTAACCTATGGCCAGATTGAAGAGCTGGCAGCTCAGCTGCAGCAAACTCGATTGGAGCAAAAGGACACTGAACTGAAGCTCCAGAAAGCCCTGGAAGCTTCACAGGAGGCCAATGAAAAAGTTCAAAAGTAAGTCACTTGCCTTCCAACAAAAACTGCAGTTGAATTCCAGAGGAAGCATTTTTTTTCTGGTATTTTGTCTATAAATAAAAATGTGGCTGTACTCAGAAAAAGTCCTTTAAAATGATTCTTCCTTTGTCAGCTCATTTCCTACTCAGAGTGAAGCTGATCATTTTAACAGTTTTGTGCTATTAGGCAAGACCGGGTACCTCTCATTACTGTTAAGGAAATTGCTTCCTACATGTGCAAGGCACAGAGAAAGTCTTTCCATCTCCTATGAATGGTTTTCACTGTTCTTTTACCCTGTGGCAATCCTATGGTAACAGAGTATTTGCCTTTATAATTGCATGGTAGAATATTACGGTTCTCATTTTTGGTCTGTTACACATCTGGTGGGTTTCATGCCACAGTAAATGGTTATGGGGTTGTTTAGGACTGGCTTCAAAATCTCACTGTGAGCTGCAGGAAGTCTTTGACTAAGTGAAGAGAGATTATATTCTCTTTCCCATCATCAGTTTCCCTGTTAAAAGGTTACTGAACTTGAAAACCTGAAGTTCATCTCTAGTGAAGTACTTGTTGTCATGTTTTTTATTAGTAGTGCCTCTTGACAGACCGGCACTTCTCATCTCTGCATTACATTCATCAACTGCAAAATTCTCCTCTCTCACCCTTCCAAGGTGGTCAATGCTGAACTGATACATATTTTCCTGTCTATCCATATATGTCTTCAGCTTTAATGTCTACAGCATATTTACAGCATAGCCAGAAATTGGCTTATAATATATTGCAAGCACCTAACAAAAGCTTTTCTTGTTTAAAAAAACACATGCTGAGTTCTTCTATTTAAAAATAGCTATATTCCTATATTTTTAATTTATTTGTAACTACGTAAAATATAATTAATGTATCTATATAGAAAAGTGCTTCTTTTTAGTCATCTCTTTAAACCCTCCAGTGGTTGTTTGATAATCATTCAAGTCTTTATTCTGAGTGCTTAGACATATTTGAAACTTCGAGAGGTGTGCATTTGAGAAAAATAAACCTATAAAAATTAAGTTATGGTAAAGAGAATATTGATAAAACCTTTCTGTGCACTGTTTTAAGTTGTTACACCTAGTTTTATTTGTAAGTGTTTAATAATATAGCTATTTAAGCAGGGGTTGAGATTTTGCTGTTGTTTTTTTTTTCCTGAAGTGAAACAATCTTGTTTAATCCCATGTGCCCAGGGTAGCTAAAGTAGAAGTGCAGCCACAAACTGAATTAAAGTAGTAGTGATGCACCACTATAGTGAAAAGAATTTATGTAATTTAACATGCTCAACTACTTGGGAAAATTTTGGTCAGGTTAGTTTTCATTATTGTTAAGATCAGACGACTGAGCCTATAGCAAAATTAAACAATTGGTTGAAGTCTTTTGATGACAATAGCATGCCCTTTTTACCACGAAACTGTGGAAATGCTCTGTGCGTCTTCCCAGCACCCAGAGTCATCCACCCCCATCTTATAATTCAACCTGCAAACAGATTAAGCAGCTGAGTTTGTGGAAAGTGTGTTTACTTTGAGCTAAGAACCCTTGTGTGACACTATAGAGATTCCTCTGACACCTCTGGGAGAGCTACACAGACAGTTCGTACTCATCAGCAGGGAAACCGGGCTGAGAATTCCCAATTTCTTTGTAACCTCAACTGCTTCATACAAATCAGTGTTTGGCAATTAGGCAGGAACTCATTTGTTAGCTTAGCATTTTATTTAGAAGATGTAGGATGTTCTACATTTCAAAAAAGAACTGACAATTTATAAACCTGTCAACAGAAAGGCTTTTTGGTATTAATTACAGTAGTATTAATTATTAGCACTGCCCTAAGAGGATGCTTAATGTAGTTTAAAATGTGTAACTAAAATTCATAGCCTAATGACTGTTATAAAATAATCTATTTTCTTGGCTTTTTTAAATGCTTAACTAAAATTTAATTCTGACATATGAAGGAAGTAGTTTTGTCAGCTGTATGAAGTAGTTTCTCAATATTATTCAGCAAAATAGCAACAGTTAAAAATCAGAAGAGTGAAATAATTATGACCTTCATTAAGAAAGATCATTGTAATTAAGACTGTTGAGAAAATATGTACTTTGTATCTTCATAAAATGCAGTTTACTAGTTTTACACTGCCTTTGCTAATTGTTCTCTGGCAACGCTAAAGAATTTTTTAATATTCTTTAAAACTTCAGTGTTTGCATTCAGCATGATATGCAGAGCTTTGAAGAGAGTTGTAATTCTCCAGAGCGTTTCCATCATGTCAGCCATTTGTGTACCCACCGGTAGTTGTTGCTTTCTAGACGTGAGACTCAAGTCAGAATAGTGGTCCTGTGCTTTCCATCAGGACAAAAAGCATCTAAAAAATTTCTTGATCCTATCTCACACGAAACAGCAGCTGTGAAGCAGGAGAGGATGTTTTGGTATCTACTTATAGTGAATTTGGACGTAGTAAACATCTGTTTATACTGAAGTAGGGTGAACATCTCATGCTGGCTAGCTGCAGTGTGAGATATAAATTGAGACTGTCTGCTTTTGCCTGTGAAGATGATTCACCATCCTAGCAGGGGTGCTGGTGTAAAACAAGAAACATTGATGCTCAGAGGGTGGCCACACAGATTTAGCTGCATTTTCTTGAATCTCTTTTGATTTTGAGACATTATCAAGATACACTTAGACTTTTAAGAGAGTGATATTCTTTATAAAACAAGTACACATTTTAACTGTGGTCTATGTAAATAAATCTATGTACATGCATGACAATACATATTTATTCAATAGACTATTATGATCTGCGCAGTAATATTTTTAATCAATGCTCTGAAATGGCTATGACTATAATTTTTTAGATTTAATTAATGTTTCTATTTTGTGGTTACAAAGAATTAGGACAGGAACACGGAATTCACCAGGAGTATTGGTATAGTACCACAGGCCCTCTGCAAGTTTGTCCTGCCTGAGAAGCCAGGAGCCAGCTGGTGCAGTCCCAGCAGGGAAATGGGGCTGACCTGGAGAAGGTGGCTGGGAGAGCCTGTGAATTAATTAATACTTCTGCCAACAGAGGAAGCGAGGCATTTTAGAAATGTCCTTCCGGCTGGAACCTCTGGGATTGTGGAGTGGCTGCTGATGTCAGTGAGATCAGAGCAGGTTATAATGTAATACCAAATCAATATTAGCCAATTATCAGTAAAGGCTGAGGCCATTTTTGATGTTTTTCAAGGAAATGTTCTATTTTTCTGCAACAGCTTTGCAGCTGGAGTGAATTTTAATGCAATTTGTCTATTGAGGACTTCTATTTTTTTCTCATAATTTAATGATTCTAGCTCAGTAGAGTACAACTCTGCATGTGAGCACAGCTACACTTGCCTAGTCGTGTAGCTATGTGAAGTGGCAGAGGAGGGTGAGTGGGTAGAATTTCTATGTAATCCTCTGAAAATAAACACAAATCCACAAAGTAACAGTGCAGTACTAAAATATACAGGTATGATAATAAGCGTAAATCATTAGAAGGATCCTGCTTGTGTACTTTGTCAAGGTAGTTCTGACTATGAATGAAGCTAATATAAAAGTGATGTAAACTCGAAGTCATTGCTTCATTAGTCCTTAACTGTTTATTAGAGACCTTTTCAATTTTCTTTTTCTTTCTTTTAAAAAGGAAGTCGAGAAAATTACAGCTTTGGATAAAAAATTTCAGTTGATTGAATACATAAGAAAACTAAGCGATCTTCTGAATTAAATTCTATCCTCAATAACATTTGCTTTACCCCTTAAGGTCTGATTTTTTTTTTTTGAGCGCCTAAATTTCATTGTAATTGGAACACACCCTTTATTTGTTTAGTCCTGAATTTCCCTCCAGCCTTTTTGAAAATGCTTTCTCTGCTTTTGTACTTATTCATTTATTTTCTTAGCTGATGCTGATATATAAGTTGATCTATGAAACAACAAAAAACAGTTATTTCCAACAGTTGACATGGATGAAAAGAATACCAAAAAATATAAAGAAATAAGAAGTAATAATTTATTAAGTGGTTAGTGTCCCTCTCTTCTGCAAGTAAAGCTAATCTGCCTTCTGAGTGCGGGGGCTGTGTGTATTTCACATCAATGTCCAACCCATTCTTCAGTGCTGGCTGGAGGGTCTAATCTTTCCCAGAATGATCAGAGCAGTGCAGTTGAAGAACAAGGATGAATATTTGAATAATCACACCACAATGTGAGGTGACCCTCCGACAGGGGACTGACCAGATACACATATGGATTTTGGGAAGAAGCTCTGATGCTCTTTTTTAACACAGCTGTGAGAAGAATGTGGCTAAGACCCAGTAGTCTTTCTGGAGTATAGCTGGCAAAGGAAACCATGAGGAGAAGAGAATTTAACACATGGGTGTAAGGGAGTTCACTTCATTGATGCGATCTGAGGGGAATGTCTAATGACTGGAAGAATCAAACTTGGCAATGAAAACACAAAGCTCTTTTCATCAATTCAAATGCTGACTCTAAAGCTGCAGATGGTTACCTCCAGCCTTGCCTATTCAGTGTGGGGTTGTATAAAATGGAACTTTGGTGAATACTAATAGATCAAAACAAAGATTTAATAACATAAAGATGTGGTGTTCATTTTTAAATGAGGATACAGGTCAGTGTCTCAGAAAAGAATTAAATAAGTATCTTTATGTATGGGTCTAAAGTCTCTGGAGATTTTTAACTGCAAACATATCTTTAGTGTGCAGATTGTATTCAGTAGGGACAGCTATGCAGGGAACAGGCTAAAAGCAAGATTTCAGAATTATTATACTAATTGAGCCTCTTTGCAACATGCAAATGTTGTTAACTAGTTATCTCGTTTTAAAATCATACCTACATATGTTTAGCTGAAGTATACATTGTAGCTTGTATGCGTTGAGCTACTTGTTGTAGGAAATAATGGAGCTAGTTAATTAGAAATTGCAGGCAGAAGCACTTCACAAAAGAAACAAGTTGT